AAGCTATCTCATTCACAGTTAGCCCAAAAAGCTTGATAAAGAGAGATTTCTAAACTCCTTATCCAGAAGCAAACTCCTCCTCCTCCTTCCAAAGAGCTATAGTGTAAACACTTGAAGGTTTCCTTGCCTCAAGTACCACACCACGTTGAAGGATACAACTTTTGATCAAACTTCTTGATTAAAAGGGGGTAGGTCAACTTTCTTACAAGTTGATCTTGCAAGTCCTATTGTTCGGACGTTGCAGTTGTTGAAGAAGCGTGACCTTCGAAGGAACAACAAAGCCAGCACGAGTGCAGTAGCAACATTGGCCTTGCGAAGATATACCGTGCAAAAATTCACACAAGTGTAATTGTTGGTTCATTATTCAACAACCAACTACATAGTGGATTTTGAGGACGTAGAAGGATTACCCCACCTTCGAACCTCGTTAAAGTTTGCGTGCCTCTCTCTCTTTTATCTTCACTCTTACAATTAGATTAACTGTGAAAACTAACCCATCCATATTGATTACTGCTCACTCTACCCACCAAATTCCGCATACAATCTAAAGTTCACAAGAACTCTAAATTAACACTTACTTTCACGTTTTTAAAAGAAACGAAAAAGATTTTAAATCTGTAACAAAGTCTATTCACCCCCCCCCCCCTAGACTTTGTATTTCACCACTTTGGGACCACCAATAATGAACCGATCATACCTCGATATCGTTTGACATCAACCGACTTACCACTTTCATCTTTATCAAGTGAACATTGAGAGCTCATTGGGGTAGCCATTTCTTTACAATCTTCCATCTCAAATTTCTTGAGAAGTTCTTTTGAGTACTTCGTTTGGCTAAGAAATGTCCCATGTTCAAGTTGTCAAATTTGAAGACCGAGGAAGAAATTTAATTCTCCCATCATTGACATTTCGAACTCTCCTTGCATAATCTTAGTAAAGTATTCACACATAAGATCATTAGTAGCACCAAAAATAATGTCATCAACATAGATTTGTACTAAAAGCATGTCAAGAGCATTATGCTTAATAAAAAGTGTGGTGTCTACCTTTCCTCTTTGAAATCCATTCTCCAAGAGATGCGAACTCAAACGTTCATACCAAGCTCTTGGGGCTTGTTTAAGTCCGTATAGAGCCTTTTTCAGTTTGAACACGTGATTTGGGTACTCAAAGTCCTCAAATCCCGGAGGTTGTTCGACATACACTTCTTCTTGAATGAAACCATTCAAGAAAGCACTTTTGACATCCATTTGNAAAGAGAAAGGAACGAGAAGAAAAAGAAGGCAATGGTTGCTGCTGAAAGTGACGAGTCATCCAGCTCAAGCTCGGATGAAGAAGCTCTCGTCTGCATGGAGCGCAGAGCTGAAAAGTCCAACCATGAGGATAGGTGGACCATGTCAGAAGATGACACTCTCTGCCTAATGGCCAAAGATGATGCTGATCAAGAGGTAACCTCACAAACCTCCTGCTCATCTTCTTATGAAAGCATACCAACTTCTGAAAATCTTTTTGACCAGTTCAAAAAGATGATGAAAGACTTTGAGGAGATAAATCTCAAACATTCTTCCTTAACAAAGGAGAACAAACTATTGAGTGAAGAGAATCTCAAATTGACTGAAGGTCGGAAAAGTCAACTGAATGAGATCACTCAACTCAAGACTGAAAATGAATCTCTCTCTGAAAAGGTGAAATCCCTTAACAAAGAACTAGGGACTCTTAAGTCAAAAGAGGCAGTGGATAAGCTTCTTGAAACGACCAAACATAAGGGTCGTGAAGGACTTGGGTTTGACTCATCTAGCTCTAAAAGGAAAGGGAAAACAACTTTCATCCCTCCTAAACCTACTGCTAAACCAAATAAGCAGAAAGGGAAGGAAAAGGAAAAACCAACAGAAGTTTCCAAAAAGGTAGTCCCTCCTAAGAACCATAGGAAGCTGGACAAACCTCAAAAAGGAAATAATTTCAAAAGAAAACCTTCTAACCCCCATTATACACGAGGCTATACCCATTATGGGGGAGACAGGAGTTTTCCAAGAAATTCTGAGTTGAGAACTATGCCAAGATATAGTCACCCTCCACCTCAGAAGCTATTTGTGCCACCTAAGTATGCTTATAACCGACACAGGACACACTATGCACCACCTAGACAAAATCATAGGTCTTATCAACCTAGGTTTACTAGGAGGAAATAGGAAATAACATCTCCTGCACGTAGGAAGTTTTATGCCTACAACTATGATTACAATCCCAACAAGTTTAGAGCTGCAAGGAAGATTCCCTGCAACTTCAAACTTGATGTAGGGACACACACCATTAACTACTCCGGACCCAAACTTAATTGGGTACCAAAATCTTCCTCCTCCTAATGCAGGAAGCCACTTAGTACCCAGGTGTCTGGTACTTAGACAGTGGCTGTTTAAGACACATGACGGGTGATGCGAGCCTTTTGAGCAATCTAATTCCCTATGATGGTCCAAGAGTTACTTTTGGAGGAAGCAATGATTTCGGTCTTACTAAAGGGCTAGGAAATCTGGTATACAAGGGACTAACCATCCAAGCTGTGTCTTATGTTGAAGGGCTCAATTACAACCTTCTTAGCATAAGTCAGTTTTGTGATGAAGGTTACTCCTTGGAATTCTGCAAGGACATGGCATCTCTTAAGAACATATCCACTAATGAAGTCATTCTCACTGGGAAGAGAATCAGGAACATCTATGAAGTAATGTGGGATAATGTCAAGGAAGCATGTCTAATCAGCAAAGGTGACACTAACCTTCTATGGCTTTGGCATAAGAGGTTGAGTCATCTCAACTTCAA